TTTCACAATAGACGTTTATACACCATTCGATAGAGAATTTCAAGAGCTACATTTTGCACTATTTGTATTTCAAGATAGATAAAATCGACTTTTTGGCCTAATGTCCGCTTAGTTGCCCACTGTGCGGCGTAGTTTAAAATCTAGGAATCCGTAGTTTCAGTCTATTTTAGCTAAATACGGCCGAGCTATTCACCAATCAACTGACGGATTTCTTGTCACCGCGGCCTCTTGCAATTTTCTTGCTATAACTGAGCACAGAAACATGCTAGACATCTCGGAAAGGTCCTGTTTCACCGAGAATTGAATTTTCTATAGAATCAAAGTGGCTTTAGCGTGAATCTTTTGCAAGAGATTTTCGAAGGTTTTCTAGAAATTAGGTTTTCCAAGAAGCCACTATGAAGAAGTGGGAAGTTTTTGAAACCATTTCGACTAAAAGCCGCATCACTTTGTACCTATGAATCCAAAATTTCAGCTCATTTGAGCGAAAAAAAATCAGCAACTAATGAGGTGATCGATCGACTGGTAAATGCACTTGGCGATGAGAATCAGGATGTCAGAAATGGTGCGTGTGAAGCCCTCGGGAACATGGGTGAAAAAGCAGCCACTAACGATGTGATCGATTGACTGATAAATACACTTGGAGATCCTTGTATCAAAGATGAGCTGGTTGCGAGGGCTCCTGAATGGGCCGTTTGTTCTTGGGATGGTATCAAACAATTAGACTCAAATCTCACTGGACGGCCATTCCAAATGTAACGGACTTACTCTTTTTTTCTGTCCGTGATGTTTTATCGTACAGAAGATGGCGTTTCTGAATTGTTATCTTCGTACCGTTCTGTCGGACAACAATTGTATCCCGTTTTCCTGGTGCTTGCCAAGAGACATTGTCACGTTGATATAGTTGGATTACATCTTGCTTCGTCTTAACCGTCAATGTCGGTGTTGTTCGCTTATGTGTGGTTTTCGGTGTTAGTTCAAGTGTTTCACTAACACGTTTGATTATTTCACGTTGTTTTGAGATATCTTTTGGCAATGCTGTTATTACTTTCTTCAGCGCTTTCGAAAATGTTTGTTTCGACTTGTAGACTGGCGGAATGCTGGCTATATTTTTTGTTTTTCGATTACGATAATTTGCTTGATGTTTTTTGTTCTGTCGTTGATAGTTCAATTTCTCTTTTCCCGTCAGATTTGAGCGAGCTATCTGTTTGCGAATTCGATCTTCATTTTTCTTAGCAGAAGCTAGTCCTTTTTGTTTTAAATTCTGTCGATACTTTCTCATTCGTTCTGCAGCTGTCTTTGCCATTGCTGAAATAGTTATCTAGGAGAAGTAATTATCAAATTATTCTTCAGCCAGCGAAACCAATCTGATTGCAAGCAATCGTTAAGTCTATTTAAAAGCAAATTAAAATGAGTCACTTTTACAACATCTCATTTACAATTGAAGAGCCGAATACTGAGTTTCGTCGGTTCAAAAGTTCTCTCAGGTAACAAAATGGTGAGTTGATTCTTTCAGGAATAACGATTTACGATTAGTTTTGCTCGAAATACTTTAAGAACTTCAAGAATACTTTGCTTCTAGCAAGCATATTTCTACCGCATCGTTGGAAAATCACATCTGAAAATTATTGGATGCGCCCTATTTCTGTAAATGTTTTTAGCAAAACTGATCGAGAACAATTGTTTCCGATTATTTCAAATGTGTTCCTGGTTTTAGGTTGAATTTTTAAGCAACTGATTATCAGTCCATTGGGTTCCAAGATCGGTAATTTTGGAAGCGTACTTTTAAAAAATCAATTATTGTTATTGCTTATTGAAAATATCTGAATTGTGCATTGTGTACAAAACTAAAAGTTCAACACAGGCATGCATTACACCTAGGTTTATCATATTTCGTTCATGATATAAACACAAATGCAGACTATCGGACTTCCTATGTCATACGGATCGACGTGCAGCAGTAAAAAAAGAAACTATAAGTGTTCGAGGGGTTAGCGGTTTCGTCCCCTTGAGTTTCAAATAGACAGAACAGAGATGTTCGGGACCCAAGCAAACGAAAAGACTTCAAGCATCTCGGTTCGACAGTTCGGAATTTTTCTGGAGGGCTCACTACCTATCTGAAACACGAGGGTTCAAAATCTGTTACAACGGCTATTGACACCGCTAAGTGGTGACACTTAGGCTATTGACACCTCCATCTGACACGTTGAAGAAATTCAGACGCGAAATTGTACTCGCTGTGCAGTAACGACTAAAAGTAGTTGCATTTAACGTTTCTAATTCAGAGTTCGAAGCGTGCAGTGATTATCAATGAAGGCAACTCGTTGAAACTATACCTTTAAACCTCAGTCGTGCGCCAAAGCGTGGTGGTGTCAATAGTTCTTCCTCAAGAGCCATCACCCACAATTACATTTTACAACTCTTCTCTCGTTCCTCACCAAAAAAATACGTTCAATTTTGTTCCATGCTGCTTATGTCTTTTTTCTAAAGAAAACAGTTAATTCTACATTCAATGCTTCAACAGCCATTTTTCAATATCACTTACTTTGTCGACACTCCAACAAAACATCATCATTATTATGTTTTCATGATGACGATTACTTTCGTTTATGTGATGTTGATAAACGAGCTCAATGTTTTCGATTTAATAAAACAATTGACCAATGTTCGCATTGTCTCTCTGGTGGTCAATGTTTAAAAGGTGATTTAAATCAACCATCTGATTTTATTTGTCACTGTTTACGTTGTTATTTTGGTTCAATTTATCAACACAATACACAACTATTATCATTTACATTAGAATCTCTATTAACTAACGATCTATTTTCATCATCTATAATTATTCAACAATTATCATTTAGTATTTACCTTTTAATACCGACTATTTTATTTATGGTTGGATTTTTATAGAACTTTTTTTGTATTCTGATATTTTTCAGACCTAAACCTCGTCTTTTTGCCACAGGTTATTACTTATTTGTCAGCAGTACCACAAGTCAGCTCTTTTTATGATTTTTATTACTAAAAATATTACATGTTTAATTAGCGACAAAAGGTTTTATTTCGAATGAAATATTACATAATATTACGTGTAACTTAATTACATTTTTTTTATCATGTTTTACACGAATTAGCTTTTGGTTAATTGAACTTGTTACCATTGAACGTCTCTATGTTACCAAATTTCCTACTGATTGCTGGTTAAAAAGTCCAAAAATAGCTAAAGGACTAATAGTAATCACCATACTTGCCGTTTTTTGTTTTCATATGCATGAAATTATATACCGTACTATCCGCAACTGATCCAAAATATTTACAACGAGGTAAGCCAATAAGCTTATTACAGCGGGATCTTCATTCTAAGGTATAATTTTCGTTTGTATTTCATACTTACGGGCCTTTTATCATTGATATCGTACCTCATTATCAAAATTAGCCCGCTTTCTAACATTTTCAATGTCATATGCCTTCTAAAACCCTGAATCTACGACGCTCCACGGTCAGTGTGAGAAGGGAGGAAGGCAATTCCGCTAAAGGAAATCGGTGTTTCTCAACCATAAAAATAACGTATTTTTGTACTTCTTATGGCTTTTTTTTTATGGCTAAATTTTTGTTTTTCGCTAAAACAGCAAATTTTGAGTTAATCATATGTGGTCCCGTTAATATTTCCTAATGAACAAGCTACCTTCTCCCTTCTCGCTCTCTATAATTTATTTTTTTTTCGATGTATTTGATTCTCTATGTGAATAACAGTAATTCCATCATTGTAATGGTTTGGTAAGATTGTTGGACGATGTTTTTTGTACCTGTTTTTCCAGCGAAACAGAAAAAATTCATAACTCTTGAAAGAAGTACCATGGGCACAAATCCTTTTAGAGTTCAGCTAGAACACTTTCCTCTATCAACTAGCAGAAGATCATTGAAAACGGAGTTTGACACCTGGAAAGGTTTTCTCGTCATCTTCGTTAAAGTAGAACTTACGCAGGAAACAGTTGTTTTATAACTTTATTGATTCATAGTAAAGAGGCCAGCGACAGGATCATTTTAGGCCTAACGTTTAACAATATGTAATCAAATAACAAGGGAAGGTAGATTGAAATCAGAAGGGAAAGAAGGAAGTAACAGTAAAAATAAAATAAAATAAATAAACGGTAAATGATAAGTGATAGGTCCTGTAGATATGGCGGATTTATGGCTTATAAATAGAAGAAAGAATCAGACATGCTGCTCGTTTTCAAATCTTCCTGTTTCAGAAATATGAGAGTTCACTGCCCAAAAAATAGATGCTGCCTCATCCTCGCTCCTCCCAATCTCATTAAGTAGTAATATGTCCATGGCAAAGGTTTTTAAGAAATTTAGTTTTTGCTTTAAAATTATTCTTGCATTATTATATAGTGGACAATTAAGAAGATAGTGTTCAGCATCCTCTCTAACACTCCCACATATACACTTAGGCGAGTCTACACATTTATGTTTGAATAAATAATAGTTAAGTGCTGGAAAGTTTGATTTTATTCTGAAAAATAAAACTTCTGCTCGACGTGTCGAAAAGTTTAACTTTTTAGGTTGAAGTTTGCTTAAGAAATGGCGGAATTATTCAAAATTTTTTCCATATAGTGACTTTTGGGACACCCTATATATATATATGTATTTGTATATGTGTATGCATTTTGTAAAATTCATTTTCTGTCTGTATCTGTAAGACGTGATTTCTTATAAAGTAATATTACGACACATGTATTCGACACATGATTATACGTCATATATTGTATGCGTGATTGACATAGATCATTTTTCCTATTTTAGATATTTTACCATTGCAGTCCTCCTTTCACTTAGCTATTTTTACCCGTCCATTTAGTTTCCTATTTTGTCCTTTGAATATTTTTTTTACAACCATATTCATATTTCCTTTGTTAGTATTTGGATATATCATCTTGCTCGCTCGTAATACAGATACCTTATTTTTAATAAAGAACAACAGTCTTGTACTATTAAGGCTGTTAATGATGATTTCTAGAAAAGTATCTAAGAGGCAGTGCATGATATGGACTTTTCACACAGACGGTTCCTTTTACTTTTATTTTGACTTCTTTTCTGGCGTCGACATATAATACTCTGTCACATCTTGATTTCGTTCGAACCAGTAAAACATTAGATAGTTATCACACTACTATAGAATTCAAATCTAGTACGAAAACCTATAGTGCTTATTATCATAAACAAATAAAAAAAACGTCTTTCAATTCGCTCTCGGGACCGGCTGGGCTGAAAATTTGAGCCTACCCTAGACGATAAACATCCATATCATATGTATCTGCCATATTATCTACACAATATTATTTATTACCAGTTGAGAAAAGAATTTTCTCAATTAAACTTTGATCTATTTACAAAAAATCTGTCAAACACTAAATTGTGTTTGCGATAGCATTGAATCAAGACAGCATTTTTTATTTCATTGTATTTGTTGCACACGATATAGAAAGCGTCTCAATAAGGAACTTAAACCGATACTGAATCGCAGCCCCCCGTGTATGGATCTACTACGCTTGAATGCATCGCTTGATAAAGATACGTATTTATTTGTTGCTAAATCTATGATTGAATATATTATCGATTCTTAACGCTTTGGGGGTCATGAAGACGATTAAGCCAGGAAAACCAACAAACTTGTGCTCCCTAATCTACTCTTTACTTTTTATTTTTATTTTTTCCTTTTCTTTCTCTCACTTCTTACAAATATTTACTTTTTTTTACTTTTAACTCGAATGTTGCACTATGTCTCACGATTTTCATCATTTCTAACACTGATATAATGGCTACGACACTTCTATCTTACAGTGGTAACGACTTTTGCTTACGTTTTACTATTTCTTATTTAAATGAAGCTAAAATCCAGAAGACTGGAATCCCATGTGCATGATGAGGAGAGAAGGAAGAAAGAGAACAAGATTATGATATATGGAGAATATTGTTACTTGTATATTTTCTATAAAAAGAATAGGTTGAAATTGAAACGAAATTTTAAAACGCTACACTCTAAAAAAAAATGCGTCTTAAAATAAGACACTATAAGTCGGTTGACGATTAGTCGCATATATGGGTCTCAAATTAAGACGCTTCTATCCGTCTTATTTTAAGACCCATGTATGCGACTAAT